CTTCCTGCTCTGCATCAAGAAAATAACAAAACTGACTCTTCTTTGCTCTGCTGAGCAACAGAAAGTACTGAGATGTACCTTGCAGAGTCCTTACGCATCCGCCTGCTATTAAACTGCTGAGCCAGCAAATCAATTGCCAGAACACTTTCTTTAATGCAGCTGCTTTTGTCCTCTGTTAGATTCTGACGTCCTGCTTCTTTATGCACTTTTTATTTGAACCCACAGTTGAAGGTACTTTTTCCTCGTGGGGAGCAGGGTCGCACAATAGATCTGATTCATATGTGAAAGCGTCTCGTAAAGCATTTGATTTATGACTGCGCAGCATCTGAATCCTCTCTTGTGCAATGTTTGCGGTAAACAGCAGACGAGGACAAAAGTGAATGAACAAAAGGAGAGTCAACACCCTGCTCTCAAGATCATCGTGCACCAAGAGTGATTGCATCCATATGGAAGGAGAAATTGTGACTGTTTGTTTGTCTTGAACTGGGTTAATCTGTTTCTTTTCTTTTCTTTTCTTTTCTACAGGCAGATTTTTGGCATTTCGTTAGGCTGAGCATACATGGCCATTATGTTTGTCTTTATTGTTCCTGATCAGCCCTGTCCACTTAAGGAAGTTTAGAAATTAGAGTTTGTTATTCAAAGATTTCCTCTAACTTAAATCACTTATCAGCCTGTTAGATATATGTCTGATCCGAGGACATTAATCTTATATTAACTGCATGATTGGACACATACTGTATAATGAGATTTAAAGAAAGCGAGAATAAGAACCGGTTAATTGTCAGAAGATAGCTTTTTTGTAATCCTGATGACCATTAAATGACCACAAAAACATGAGACTCCTCATTAAATCTGAAGTTTGCTGCAGCTGTTAACCTCTCGTTTCACAACAAGCCTCTCTAACCTGCGTCCAGCGTCTCATGTCATTTTCACCTGTCGAACTTTGTAAATATTTACTGGCGAGACTGTGGCAGCACTGCAGAGGTGCTACAGTATCTGTTGTCTGCACTGTCTGGAAGTTCTTCACTAAGAAACATATATACATATATAACATAACAAATTAACAACTTCACTCGTTGTGCAGCTGCTATGAAAAGGGAAATTAGCTCTAGGGAGCAGAGTTTTAGATTTTGCTCGCAAGACATTTTATCACACGCGTGTGAGTGGACTGACTCACTTTTGGACTCAAGTGGCCACTTCAGGAATCACGGTTTTTAGCACTCCTCTCTCTCATTGGCTTGATGCTCCCAGTTTGCTGCTTGGTTGTGTGGAAACAAGATTTTTGATGCTGGCTGAACAGTGTCCCCTTTACGTCAGCAGTTTCTATCAGATCTCTACGCCTTTGATTACAATGTAATGCAATGCTGTGCTTTAAAAACGTTTTAAAAAGTTACAATAAAATGATAGATATAATTTCCTAACTCTTTTTTGTTAAAAACCTTTAAATTAGCGTGCCTGCAGATCATTCTTTGATTCAAATCTTTTTATCTTTTAAGTGTTTTGGCAAACGTAAACTGCCATTTCCCTCTTCTGTCAATGAAGTAAATAATTTGAATGGCTCGGGGAGGATATGAGAAGGTGTGTCTGTCGTGCCCGCAGAGGTCATTTAACAAACACGGTGATGTCATGGGAAGTAGCTTCTTCACAGCACTCAGTTTCCTTTTCATGTGAACAGCTGAGCTGCTTTGTGCAGCTGAAACTTTCCTGCCTGGGCCTCATAAAGCTGATATACCCCCCCCCTTTCCAGAATCACTTCTACGTCCTCGCCCGCAATCTATGCAACAACATGCAATATGCAACCTACATGTTTTACTTTGACTTTAAGCTTGAAAACATGTTGATTGCAGAGTTCTGTTCATGTTCAGTTTTTTGGATTATATTTACTCTGATGTCTGATAAAAGTATCACACACAGACTCACATCTGTTTCCAGCAAGCCGTAGTTCGAGCATGAAGTTCTATGTGCTTTTCTAACTGAATTTAGACCTCACCCTGCACACTAATCAACTCTGTTACTTTTTAGTTTTGTTAGATTTCACTTTGTGATTTTGAGTTTTGTATGTCAGAGTTTGTATCAAGCTGCCAGCTGGTATCATCATGTGGTTGACAAATGTGTTTCTGTTGTGTTGGTTGGATTAAAATTTGTTGCAGGCCAGGGTAACTCTGATTCGCTGATTTTTTGTTTGACATTGCCATTATAGTAGATGTTTTTATTTTGTTTGTTTTTTTAATGCTGAACCAACCTGTGAAACCATCGAGACATGCATCCCATCAGCCTCAGCTGCAGGGACCAAGCAGTAAGGACACAGGGGTTTAATTCAATTTCATTTATTGACCCCAAAATATGAAAAATAATTAACAAAGCCAAAAACTTAGACAGGCAGAACAATAAAAGAGGTCAACTCAATAAACTAAACTCAAACAAACATAAGGCAAACTAACCTGCTGAGATGACGCATGAGGGAACTTAAATACGGGCTTAGCTAAACCATAAAACACCCCCAGGCAATGAAGCATTTGGTTCAGTTTTTGCCAACCAGGAAGGAGAAGCCAACCCCCCCCCCAAACAAAAGTTTGACTTTGCATTGTTGATCTGTGTGCACTCTATATAAACATTTTAAGGTGTGATGGAAAAAACTAATTTAATAAAGAAACTATATACTGGAAAATTAGTAAAATATATTTAAAGTCGGGACTGCAAAGTGAAGTGAAGCAACTAGCGGTGAGGTGCTGATCTTACCATGTTTGGCTCGCCATCACAATAGTATTTTGTGTTAATAACAAATGTCAGGCTAATGCACTGAAGTATTCAAAGAGTCAAAAACCACAAGGCCATTTCAACTTCTATTACAAACTGAATGGAACGGCACAACACAGCGTTACCTTGGAAAATAATTAAAGCACGATCTGGTCCAGTTGTGCAGGAAAAAGCTACCCAATGTCACAGTATTGATACCAAAGGGTGAAATCTGATGCTTAACAATCAACTAAAGTAACACTATAGGTATCGACTCCTAATAATCTCTTATTGTCTCTTAAGTATAAAACCAGTTCAGAAGTGCAGTGTGTGGAATTCCAGGATGCTCTCATTTCCATCATGCCAACTATTGCAGTTTTGGCTCTGCCACTCCCAAGTCCGATCACGTGGATGTTTAAATGTACTTTTTACAACATGCACAATTATTCCACGTTCCTTTTACCTTGTGAAACAGAGGTTGGAGCTAGGAGTGACATCGGACGTGAGTTGACCTCATTCCAGTAACAGTAGAAGTTAAAATGGGCAACGTTTGCTCTCTAGCAGGTACAGCCATTCAGCCATCACTAGTTGCACGACCAAGTGAATAAAATCTGCAGTCAGCAACCATCTGACAGGTCTGTGATGCTCACTGAAAACGTCCTTGCATTTGCTTTGGTCTCTACTAGATCCCCTCAGTTGTCTGTAATTTGCATGGAAGATGCAACTACTCTCCCATCAGAGCGTAGTTGAGTTGTTAGCTACAGCACTGAGGCACAACTTTTATTTTAAATCCTCGCTATTTCTCCACCTGGCTGGTTAGCAAGTGTTTGCAGTCGATCTGCTAGCAACCAAAGCAATCAGAAGGAGAGTTTTTTGGGTTCAGCACACTGTTTGTGACTGATTTCACAGAGCTACTGTCAGAAACCTGCACTGACCAACCAGTCAGGAAATACATGTCTCTATTGCAAATGATGGTTGTATCACATCCAATATGGTAGACAACTTCCACACAATGTGCACACAATGTCATGTGAGAAACCTCAAAAGCAGTGTCTGGAGAGCCTGATCAGTGCTGTGTGTGGCTTATTTAGCGAGTGCCAAATACAAAAGGAATGCAGTATTGATTTTAGAAGGAGGTCTGTTAGATAGAAAAGGCTCTAATAATATCATGAAAAAGAATTCTGTTCCATTTCTGCCAACAGATCCCTAAATCCTATGCACCGAGCTTTTAATTCATAGCATTTGGGTCTACTATGGCTTTACATCTCTAAACTTCTGGAACATTTTGAACAATGAACTGATGTCCCACTGTTGGGCCACCCTGAATGCCAATCACCAGGCGAGCCAGACTTGACCATAAGCCCCCCTTTCTCCCCCTAACTGAGTGTAAACACTCAAACAATCACTGGGAATGCCGGGAGGTGTGTTTTGATGAGGTCTGGGTGAGCTTTTTTGGGTTTTATCAGCTGTGGACATTCCTCTGAGTTTCCCCACGGGGAGAACACACAAGCTGCTCTGATGACGTACACGAGACAATGGCGAGAAGTCAGTTTTACAGCTTCCAGCTGATTTAAACTCCAGACCACACATTTAGACCGAGACAAAGATTTGACAGAGTCAATTATAGTCTGTTCACTTTGCCCAGGACCCTCTTGGACAGAATAAGCATCTGAAGATTATTAAAATGTAAAGGTATAAATGTTGAGCTTCGTGAGCTTTTGATGGTTTAGGTTTTTGAGGCAGGCACGTGCTTAAACAATATAATCCTCCTCTGAGTTTCTGTGTTATGTCAGTGATGTTTTAGCATGCTAAACATATCTAAGATGAATAAAACTGCTACATTTCATGTAACAAGTTGTCCTGATTACGGTGCCTGACCTGCTAATTTATATCTTCTTTTTTAAAATAATAATTTAAGCTAAATACACAAAGTACTCTGAACTGTCTTTGTGCATCAAGCTGCTGTATGAATGCGTTTCGTTAACTCTTAACTTATATGAAGTCAGAAAAGCCAGTTTTAAAGTCTGAAATAATTGTACGTAAAGATTTCTTCTTTCCTTATATCTATTTTCTTTTTTAAAAAGTCAATGTGACTTTTTAAAGGCAAACTTAGGTTTCATATGTATATCAGCAACACCATTATTTTTAAAATTCTTGGCTAATATACCATTGTACATCTGCATTGCAACTGTATGCAGAGGATAAAAAGAAATTAGAGTTGTAGATACATTCTTTATTTTTATATATATATGTGTTGTATACGCTTATATTATTACAAACCCTCTATAACTTTGAGACGGTTTATCGTACATGCAGATAAGCACTTCACTTGAGCAGATTTTTAGCATTTGCATCTCTTCAGTCACATTTAGGGCTGAGTGAAACATAGGATAGCTGGTGGTGGGTCCTTGGTGAGAGGAAACCATGGACTCTGGGAGGGGCAGGTTCCCACACCCAGAAGAAGAGACGCAGAACGTTGTAACACAAACAGTTCTCCACTCAGGAAGGAAAGGGCTCACTTGTTGGGTCTTTATCAGATCTGCGAGATCCTAAGCCAAGCCACGCTTCTCCTGCATGTTTGGGATGAGCGCCTCTCGAGTGTATGTCTCATCAGACTCTGTAATCACGAATAGAAAAGGAAATTGCATTTTATTACAGGGAGAGACTCAGTGCTACCTGCTAAAATGCGACCTGGCATGCTGGATCTTTTGCTCTGTGTATGCCCATCTCCTCAGTTTAATACCTCTGAAACACCTCAACTTAATTTGGAACTTGGAATATGCAGAGAGCAAGAGTACAGTGTGTTATTGGACGTGTTTTATTTATAATTATAATCTGCATTATTTATATGTACTCTAACAGGCCAGAGGTGTGGCCCGAGGCTCATCCAGCCAATACTGCATAATGAATAATGCAGACTTGGTCTTTAAAGTGGAGTGTGATCCTGAATGAAAAGGAGAAGCACCTGCTGTTAAACGGCTGAGACTTTGATGGGATGTATCAGGATATAAGCTCATGCCTGTGTCTTTTTCTGACGTAAATTAGCTTCATGAGATTAGCTTTAGCAGTATTGTCTATAGCAGGTTACAATGTCAAACCAAACAAGTTTTGAACACAGTGTCGCTCTCACCTGGGCTGACTCGAGCTCAAGTTTCCTTCCTGGTTCATTTAAATTTCTGGTTTGACATACAAACAGTCTTTGTATGCAGGCACAAATTTACACATTCAAAGTAACTTAAGACCAGTGAGATTCAGATTTCCAGCTTTAGTTTACAGGATTGGCCAAATCATTCTCATAACAAATTCCAAAGATAATTTTGTAATACTTAAAGGTACAGTGTGCAAAATCTCACCACTGTTGTTCATCTATAGCAGGGGTGGGCAACTCCAGGCCTCGAGGGTCGGTGTCCCTGCAGGTTTTAGATGTGTCCTTGAACCAACACAGCTGATTTAAATGACTAAATTAGCTCCTCAACATGTCCTGCAGTTCTCCAGAGGCCTGGTAACGAACTAATCGTGTGATTCAGGTGCAGTGTTGGTCAAGTTACTTGAAAAAAGTAATCAGTAACTAATTACTGATTACTTCCCCCAAAAAGTAATCCCATTACTTTACTGATTACTTATTTTCAAAAGTAATTAATTACTTAGTTACTTAGTTACTTTTAAAAACACAATTTACAACCTGAAGAGGTGATAAAGTGATAGATCTTTCAGCCCAATTCTACTTTTTCTACATAATCATCATACAAAATGTAATCAAATGGAAAAGTCTCTTTTTTTTAACTTGTTTTTATCAGTTTTAATCTTTTAACTTTATGCATCAAGCAAAAATGTAATTATATGCAACATTCTCTGACTTGAATAAATTAGTTTAACATTTAAACCTATTTTCTGCACTTTCCAGCTCATAAAATAAAATATTTTTTGTGTTTACACTCAGTCTTTCAAATAGATGCAAGTAAAACACAGCAGAAAATAAATAAAGTCAAAGACTCAGCCGCCCTGTTGCTCTATTTTCACCTGTAAAGCAGGAGCAGGGTAGGCGGAGGTTTACCCTGGTGCAGGTGTGCCGCGGTCAGTTGAAGAATCCGCGAGTTTCTCTGTGAATTTCTCATTACGTCGTTACGCACTCTGTGCTTGTTTGGAAGTTTAGGGTTTTTTTCGCTGTAAAAAGAAGTTTTCTTCCCACGCACGATGGACACTAATGTTTTTGTCACTTTTTATGGAATCAAACTCAAAGTAAGGTCAGTACTTTAAACGCTGCACGCTCATACTCTCTCCCACAATCGATATGTGATCCATTGTTGATCTGCACACAGCTGTTGCCACTAACGTCGCACTCGCTTACGTCACTGTCGTGAGACATTCTCGCAAAAAATCACGGTTTAGTAACACAGTAACGCAGCGTTCCTACGGGAAAGTAACGGTAATCTAATTACCGTTTTTGCAATAGTAATCCCTTACTTTACTCGTTACTTGAAAAAAGTAATCAGATTACAGTAACGCGAACGCGTTACTGCCCATCTCTGTTCAGGTGTGTTGACCCAAGGTGAGATCTAAAACCTGCAGGACACCGGCCCTCGAGGCCTAGAGTTGCCCACCCTGATCTATAGTGAGTGCAGACCGTCTCTCTGCTGTTTACCTCAGCTGTCAATATGCCACGTGGTCACATCTTGTCCGATACGAATCGATGACTCAGTGAGGTTCACTCATGAACGCTATACTGATGTGTATTGTTGAATTTCTGTTGGTAAGCGCTGCTGTTTCTGCAGCTGTGTTAGAGAAACTTTCTTTGAAATGGATCTAACATTGTTGGACTTGGATAAATAAGATGTGAGAATGTAATCAAACTGTTTATCAGAGGGAGAATATGATTTTAGAACACTCGTGCCTAATATTAGCTGGCATAATGTGAGTTTATAACCAGCTGTTGTTGTTGTTTAGCCGCTTGTTGCCAGCTGTCTGTAGATGGGAGGGTCGCATGTCTTATCTGCTGACAGTAAGTAATTCTGGCAATATTAGGAATAGATAAGCATGCTTATGCCTTTGTGACTTAATTCCAGCAGATGGTGACTGAGGTAAGGAGGAAGAGGATGAGTGTGGAAATGAGGGAGGAGAGAGCAGTTGTGGAGGAGGTGTATGAAGAGGAGGAAGATATAATGAGAATGTATAAGTTTGATCTCTTACAAAGAAGAGTTTCTCATTAGTAGTGACCCGTCGTGTGTATGTGTAGATAACAACCATGCTGTAGAATAAACCCCAGATAGACAAATAGTGAGTGAGTGTTTAAATATCAGGTACTTCACCTTTGTTGGGCTTCAAAACAGCTGATTTTTAGTATTATTTTAGTCTTTACATCAGTTGTTTTTATTTAACCTTTTTTTCTCAGTCTTGGCATCACTTAAACTCTTATTTTAAAAAATTACAATGAAGAAAAGATATTTTTAATTTGCATAAATACATAAATGATGAAATGGTCAAAGGAAAGAATTGTTACGTAGCCCCGATCGTTCTCTGAGCAGCATCTCGGTTGTGTAAGACTTCATGGAAAACCCCTGCTGTTACAGGGAGAAGACGAAGGACTCACCATCTTCATCACCTCCTTCCTCTGTGTGTTTTCTGCCCCTGCAGGCCAGTTCAGCCTGAACAAAATATTCCCTCATGGCCCACTAAAGGAAAATGAGCAAATTCTAATTCCAAGGATTGAACGGTGGATTTGAACTGTTGTGTAACTGTAACTGTGTAACCCTTTCTCCACTCAGTTTTATTCTCTTGAGATTTTAACCATTTAAAGCCAAGTGTGTCATGTGTTACGTGACTTTAGTGAGTTTTTGAGACTTCATCAGTGTAAATCACACAATACATTTTTAAGTTGTACAAAATGATGAGATTATTTTTTTAATTACAAAAAACTGCCTGATGTGGCGAATATGACACAGATTTAAACTCACATGTAAATATTCATATTTATTTATTTAGAAATTATTATTAGAAGCACCGTTTTTTTCTTCTTTTCATGAATGGAGATCACATTATTTGTATGTTAACATTAACTAGGAGGGATTTACAGCATGCATGCATGTCGCACATAAGCTCAGTGCAATTCAGTTTCAATTCAGTTTTATCTATGTAGCACTAAATTACAACAACAGCTGCCCCTCGAGGGAGAATGGATGGCCATACCTGTTATGTGTCTGTGAGGGAGAAAAAGGAGAGTTGAAAAGTACGAGTTGTCACTGAGCAGAAACGGGAAGCATGTAAATATAATAATAACAAATATAATTATTTCTACTACGTGAACACTACAGTGGCAGTCCAATGAGATGACGGTGCCAGCAGTGGCCTGTGGCTCATTTGAATTTGAGACCCCTGATCTCAAACTAAAGTGGTGGGTGGGTTCTTTTACATTTAGAGAAGCCAGTTGAGTCTAATAAGAGATTAAATGCTGTGTGGAGGCTGTCATTTTCAGTATGTGCACATATATATTAAGCTAAATAAGTTATCATATAAGTTATTGGTGCACCATCTCCTCTGAACATTATGAGATTGCGGTGTGTTGAGGCTTGAAAAGAGCCTATGTCCATCCTTTATTTACAGTCTATGTTTCTGCTATCAGAACAATATAAAATGATAATAAATGCAATGCGGGATCCTTTGTTAGGTTTTTAAAGGGTGGACAAACAAACTGAGAACAAAATGATGCTCTACAGTTTTATTCTCTATTCTTTTTCCACTGCTCAAACAAAGAAAGGAAGAGTAAAGCAGGAAATAAACACTATCTGCATTTGTCTGTATGAGTAATCTATTGGCCTTTTACTCCACATTTATCATTCTTACGTTGTTATCCACACCCAAGAAAAACGTACAAGCTTTTAGAACAAAAATACCAGAAGGGTTTTTTTTTGTTTTTTGGTAAGGTCATGTCTTAAGGTCACTCATTTGTTTTGGGGGATGGTTGACGCAGGGAGAGCAGAGGTGAGGTCAGGATGTGTGAGATGGAGGGGAGGATCCCCCGCAGGGAGAATCAGAGGCTCGCTGTGAAAAACGAGCAAACAACCTGTCGGTGCTTCGTGCCTGAGAGACACAGGAAGAATATAAAAACTCTTAACATCCTCGGCTCGCAGACGCACACGGCCGAAGTAAAGTGCACAATTTGTCAACACAATCCTTTCCCATGTGTCCCAGCTGTCTGTCTGCCTCCAGGTCCCGCAGACGCTGCCGGACTCCCTGGCACCAGAGTCTGGCGACGCTGGGGGAAGATCTATCCCCAAGATATGAGCAGGAGAAACTCCACCCGAGAGGCTGCTGTACACACAGACAAACCTATTACATCCTCTGAGCTAATCGTTCTCTGAGAGCACGACAACACAAACATCCCCAGGACAGAAACATCACTCTTCCTCTGACTTGCTGCTGTTTTAAGAGTTTCGATTAAACTTTTTTTAGTCTTTAAAAGTGCTCGTGTTTCTAAAAGACAAAAGGAACAGTTTGGAATGATGGTTTTTATTTGTATATAAAATTGCAAACACAAAAAGGTAGTGTAAAGTTTTACAAAGGTTAGAGATTGTTTCTCGGTGGAGTTGCCCCTCCAGCAAGCTTCAAGAGGAGCTGAGTGCTCGGGCAGGTTCAGGGGTTAAGCCTGTTTCCTGGGACATACAGAGGGATTACAGGCCTGAACGTGAAGAGAGCAGTGAGGTCATTTTGTACTCTGCACATTTAATGTGTACAATCTGCTGCTCAAACTCACTTTTAAACCGCGAGGCAGGAAACATCACGACTGATTGTCTGCAGGAGAGCTGGAGCAGATCGGTGCCTGATTTCATCCTGAACTGTTTATGTTATGAAATCTCTTTGTGGGGTGAAAATCCCCCGAGATCCAATGAGACTGTTAAACTTGTAGACGTCAGTAAAAATATATATTGTAGCAGGTCCTGATATAATTTCTCAATTTTCTGAACTGATAAGTTGTTTTTTTCTGAATTCAGGGGAAAAGTTTCAGTCCTTAAAATAACTTTCTAGTAGATACAATAGAAATAGGCGGTAACAGTGGGAGTTTTTAAGGGAAAAAAGACGCATATGTGAGAGTAAGTATTTTCTGATCCCATAAGAGCTGAGAAAACCATCTTCTACAAAGTATATAATCATGCCCAAGGTCCTAAAGTTGGAAAATCTGTAAAATAAATCAGGAAATTAAGAAGACTCTAAAGTTTTAAAACATAGCAAAGACTCGTTTAAGTACAACGTTAAAGGGAAGGAAATAACAGAAATAACAGAAGAAATCGTAGAGCTCTAAGTAAAGGCAGGAAACATTACAATAAAGAAATAAAAGCTCCTTCATCTACTCTTTTCTCTTCCTTCTTGTTTTGTAGCTGGAGTCTCCGGTTTTCTTGCACAATCAGGACTCTGAGGTC